GATATGCAGATGAAGTTCGAAAGTGCGTCACCTAGTAGAGAAAGGCCTTTAGCAATGTATGCGCAGCGGATGCTCGTCGCTGTTCACGATCTAGTTCGCTAAGCATATCATGACTGAAATTACAGTCTCACAAAGCTACGAGGCAATATCCTGCAAAAAAGGAGTACAACTGCATGTGCTGGTGATCTGTTTCACTTAGCGTCCTGAAATGAAAGGGGCAGCATTAGGCAGTCGTCAGGATGATGCAACTTCGCACAAACCTTCATGAACCTCGTTCAGAACGCTATAACATCGAATGCGTATCGAATGACATCGTTCTACCTGATCAATGCATATCAATATGTCATTTACGACCAAGCTCAAATAAAGGATACTGCGCATCTGTTATACCAACTGCTGTTCAAGATGACTGGTAATGCTTGCGGCATCTTGTAAGGCTTCGTTGCGTGTGTTCTTCTGAGACAAGAATCTACATTCTGCGCATTACTGTTTGTTGGGAACGAATCAGTTGCAATGGGCTATTTTCAAGATCTTTTCTCTACTCCACTAGACAATGAACCCTTTTCAAGTAATAGATATCCGTTGTTTCATCAGCATATGTTACCCAGTGGTTCGCGTTCTTAACATTCGCCGATAAAAATGGAGAACAACAGTGGACACAGAACGGAGCTGAGGGACGTTAAACTTGTTGGGTCTCGATGCTGACTGAATACCACTGTTTCAGGCAAACGAACTGTCGTCGATTTGATAAAGGTATTGCCATGTTTGGATCACCCTTATATATCAACGAAAGGAAAATATGAAAGAACAAAATTAAGGTAAACATTAATAAAGAAAGAAAACTAAAAGTAATGTTCAATGCAAGGGCGAAAAAACGAGCAACGAGAGAAAAGAAACAGGAAAATAGACAAGAACAGAGAAAAGAAATTAAAATAGGTCGCCGAAACAAGATAAATAGAAAAACAGAAAGACAGTGAAAACAGAAGAAGGAAAAGGATAAGAGGAGAAATAAATGTGGAAAACATCAGAAAAGAAGTAAATAATGGAAAGCATAGAAATCAGGAAAGCATATAAAAAAGAATGAAAGGATATTATGCGGAAAGAAAAAGCGAAAGGGTTAAAAACGAAAAGAGAATAGAGCGAATGAACCTGAGAGAAATTTAGAGAAAACAAAAATGAAAATAGTGGAAAGGAAAGTAAGGCAAAAAATTACAAAAAGGAAAAAAATCAAGATAAAAGGTAAAAGGGGAAGAAGAGAAAAATGAACAGAACTCAGGAAAGGGAAAGAATATATATTCAAAGAATATAAAGCAATTAAGAGAATAGGTAGGAGAGCATGAAGAGAGAATTTGCAAAAGATGGATAGGAGACGGGGGAAGAAAGTGATATACAAAAGAAAAACCACAGCAAAAAATAGTGCAGGAGCTGAAACTATACAAAAAGGGAAAAGGATAAAAAATAGAAACGGAAAAGGGAAAGAAAGAAATTGAAAATAATGTTAGCTATTCCTAAGTAAAAAATAAGAAACTCACTTGAGGATAGCTAAAAACGTTTCCAGTTTCTTTCCTTCCCTTTCCTTTTGTTTTGTTCTTTCTACCAATATCTCTGTCTTTTTTAATCCGTTTTTTTGTAGTTATCACTTCCTATTCTACTTTTATCTCCTTTCCTTTTTTTTCATTTGTGTCACTCACTCCGCTTTCGGCACTTTCATCTGTCTCCCCAAATGCCTATTTCCATCTTTCCATACTTCTATCCACCTACTTCCCTATGCTTTCTTAAGTTGCTTTACGTTTTTTGATTTGGTTTTCTTTCCCCTTCAAATGTCCTTTTATCCTTTCCATTCCATCTCCTATGTACAGTTAGTTTTTGCTTTTGAAACAAAGAAACTGAAAAACGATGCAGGGTATTACTAAAGAAAGGAATAACAATTTCAGTTGAAGTTTTCCTAAAGTTTAAAATGTTGCGAAACATTGGACACTGACAGAATGATCGCCGCACGGAAAAGCAAGTGCAGGAATGGATAAATAAACAAAAGATCAATTGGTATTCCAACGGATCAAAAAGCCAAGATATCAGACACGGCTACCAAAATCCAATGTCATAGTCAGCATTTTTATGGCGCATAACCAAAGAAGTACCGCAAGGAAACAAGCTTTTAGTTCAACAACTCTCAGCAATGAATCAAAACCCACTTTTCATAATTGATAAAGGCCTCGTTCAGCATGCGATACATGGCATCACACAAAATTGTCAGGTCTTCAAAACGGCCGACTTCAGGACTGTCGGCATTGGCGCATATCGCATGCGTTTTCGTTATAAAATTATAAATACATCTAACAACCTAAAAACACAAATGACGTCACGTTAAGTTGAAAACTAGTTCAAAATTGGCAGTTTTTAAAATTGGTTATGAAGCATTTGCTAAGCTCCATTTAAAACAAGCTGATGGTCAGCTCAAACAGTAACATAAAATGGGAGTCTTTAAACTAGGTAAATATGATTATCGCTAGACTAGTGTTTCAGTGAGGCGTCTTGAGACAACAAGCTGATATAGTTAATGGTTACAGAAATGAATGATTCACTATAAGATTTGTATTACCGTTTAACATTAACTAAAAAATTAAATGAGTACATCTACAGTGGCACTTTGGATCGCCTCCAAATTCTTTTGAACAAGGGGCCAATGCGACTGCCGTATAAACAGACAGAGTGACTTGTATGGTAACGATATCAGCGCAAACGAACTACAGATGGTCAAAAAAGCACAAAAGCACTTATATGCATAGCAGTTACGGTTAAAAGCAATCCTGCGGTGCCATGATCATTTACGTCACTGCAACCCATGTTGTGCATACAGACATATGTTATTAGAACCTTTAACTTCATGAAACGAAGGGTACAATAAGGGGTCGATCATAAAAGTAAAGGAAAACCGACACTTAAAATGTGACTAGCCTTCCTATCTTTTAAATGCCACCGCAATTGGAAGAAAGTAGGGCAGTGCAGTATGCCGTGAAATCTAATCTCGGAGGAGTTATGCGTCGGTTTCTGTTCAGAAATTAATTTAACTTGGCCTTAAATTCTCAGACTGCAAGAGGGACCCTCAACAATGTCCATAGCAGCTAATGCATGTTGACGGCAAGAACGGCAATGCAAAGCATGTTTCTGATCTAGAAGAAAGTCCACCCAATAACGTATTCTTGAACAATATCTGCGTGACGACAACAGAAACGGCGCTTAATGACATCAACATGAAAAAGCACACATGCTGACGTGTTTAATTCGCACGATACATCTGTAGAATAAAAAAAATTTTTAAATACCACCCGAAGAAGATCCAGAAGACCGCTGGAGAATAAAACATTGGTTTAAAATGAGTAACGCAATACGCTAAGTTAAATCAGCACATCGTATAACAATCTACTTTGAAAATTGCTTTCTTCTCTTTCCATATTACGTTAATCAGTGATTACTTAAACTGATCTCCAACGAACACTGTGAATGGTGAAGTTCGCATCAGAAAGAGAGGTGGTCGCCTTGCGTATGAATGCATCTAACACGAAAAGCCTAGTGCCTTCCTTATCTCCTGCCAGTTGCTCTCCTTAGAAAAATGGAGAAGCTGTGGGGCAAGTAGAGATATTCAAGTACCTCAGGGTCATATCTACTAGTGATGCAAAATGCGACGAAAACATTGGCTAGCGAACTGCAATAGCCAGTGCTATTCTGTGTGAAGAAGCCCGAACTGTTGTGGCTAAAATAGAGCTGAGTCTAAGGACTAAATTATGTGCTTAGGTGTATCCTCACCTCCATGTTTACCTCTGACAAGTCGTAGGCCATGACCGAAAAAATCTGATCCAGGGTGCAAGAGGCTGAAATGGGTTTTCTAAGACAAATCACTGGGTTCAGGAATCAACAGAGCCGGTTCAGATGTGACTGCTCAACTGACCGGTCGAAGATCCCGGGGACGGCAATGAACTGCCTGGAGAAAGCAAATCGACGGACACTGCTCAAGGCCAGAGATTTTCTTCTGCTGAAGAACAGACGCTGGTGCACAATCTAAAACGTTTCAGACACAGTGAGACGTTGTCTTCGTTACCCAAACTGACAAGCGGTCATTAAAACAGAGTA